AGTGCAGTTAAATTGAACTGAATCACATGGTCCCATTGTGTGCAATTCCTGTATCGATTGTCACAAGTCAGCACGAAATGTTGTAATGGTCATTGGCCCCAATTGTGTCAGCTATATGTGATTTGGAAAGAAAGGGTTTTGAGATTCCAGCGCAGGTCTCTCAGGAGTTAGTCCTGTGGTGTCGGTCTCAATAATAGCCCGAGATGGAAGTTGTCAGTTCACTGTCACATGGCTGAGATGTTGGTAACTCACCCCATGTGCTCTTCCAGTTGCAACATATCACAACAGCACAAGACGTTCCTTTTAATGTCTCTAGCTTATGCCAGGAAAATGAAAGCCAAGGAAAGACAACATGCCGTAAATTGATCACATCAAATGCTTTCTTCTTCCTCCTCCTCCTCCTCCTCCTCCTCCTCTTGTTAACCTTGATAGGAGCAGAGCTTGCTCTGGCCCCGTCAATGGGCCTCAGTGTGGTGATATGTAAATATTGGAGTGATGCCCGGAGTTGAAAAGTCTGCTGGTCATTTGCTGGCAGGGCCGTTGACAAACAATGCCAGAAAGTATGTCATAAAATCAGGAATGAAATAATTTATTCAAAGAGCATTCTTGGCAATGTAATAAGCTCCTTTGAAACAGTTCCACATCTGTTCTGAGCAGGATTGTCACAATGACAGTGGTGGAAAGTACTCAAATACTGAGGTACTAATTTACTTGAATATTTCTAGTGTGAGGCTTTATAGTTCTACTTTTCAGAGAGAAGCATTATACTTTTTACTTTTACCTGACAGCTGCTTACTTTTCAGGGTAAGATAGTACACACAGCACATTATTATCTGCTCATAACATATTAAACATTATATTATGAAGGAGGTAAAATTAGCTCCACCGTGACCAGATACAACATTAACGTTTTGCTTACATATTCATACATCAATACAAATAATACAATGATATTATTGTTAAAAATATACAAACTGATAGAGATCATTCTGCAAAATGAGTACTTGTGATATTTTAAGTACATTTTGTCTAATACTTATAGTGCTGCTACTTTTACTTCCCTAAATGATTTGAAATTAGATGTAAATATTAGTTGTAAAATACGAATAAATATTGAAAACACAGATTGTATTAACTTAGGTTGAAAAAAAGGCTTCATGCTAGAATAGCCTAACCCGTTCTTGAAAGTATTGTGAGTGTGAAAGGTTACATTTGATTGTACGCTTAGTGGCTCTCTGTTCTGCTTTTAGCTCTTCCCAGAAGACAGACCTGCCATAAATAGATTCCATGCGACATGTGCCAAGTATCTCAAGCATGTTATTTATGCCTGTTCAGCTTCATCGCCAGCTTTCACACACCTTTTCCGACCATTAAATCCTCCACTTATATGTACCTGTTTATGGATTTAGGGAAGAACACACGTGTCAGGTGAAGGGTGGAGACAGATTTTATCAGCTCTGCAGACCGTGAAGTACAACATGTTCTCAGGACAATTCATGTCACTCCGCATACCAGGGAAAGACTGTACTTCAAAGGGTTTCCAGTCAACACAAAGAATGTGAACGTTGATACAAAAAGGACATGTTTGAGTTTGTGAATATGTTTTTGAAGAATGAATTGTGAACACACAATTTTGACATTTTGGATTTTGTGGCTTCTCATCTCTGTGGTGGTTCCCATAATTCAAACACAATAATAATAATAATAATTCAAAGGACATTAAGTAACACAGATGTGTGTATATATATGTATATATATATACTAGAGGGAGAGAGAGAGACAGAGAGAGAGAGACAGAGAGAAACAGAGACAGAGAGAGAGAGAGACAGAGAGAGACAGAGAGAGACAGAGAGAGACAGAGAGAAACAGAGGCAGAGAGAGAGAGAGAGAGAGAGAGAGAGAGAGACAGAGAGAAACAGAGA